TAAAAATAAAATTGTTCTAAATCATGGCTGACTGTATCTGTGGTTCAAGCTAACAGTGTACAAACATCACGTAGAGACATTAATTGGAGTCTATGCATTACACCGTGAACTGGGGTGATAGGAGAACAGACATTAGGACAAAATAGCTGATCTGAAAAAAAGAAAATAAATTCAGAATATATTAATTTTTTATCATTTTCTATTAGTCAGCATAACTCAGAATTTAGGGAGCACGCCCCACTGTGAAATGTGTCTTTATAGTCTGCTATTGTCCTTTTTGTAAGAAGCCTTTAAGCCACCCAAGCGTTGAGAACCACATTAAGGACAATGAGTTTCTGATCCAGTCCTCTTTTACAGATCCTGAAATCAAAGAATAAAGTTTATTTGTTCTATGTCAGATTATCTTATATAAACCACTAATTAGCACAGATTTGTTTGATGTAATGTGTCATGCTAATCAGGGAAGCAGGTTTAATTTTGTGTCTCCACCAAGATATGGAAAAAACATATCCTGATTATTAATAAAATTGCACATAATGATGTTTTATGGCAGTAATGGACCTGGTTTGAACAGATTATGCTATTTCTAGAAAAAAACTCAAGTGGTTATGGTCATAATGTTACATGCAGTATAATTGCAGGACTGTTCATAATATCAGTGTGACCCTAGAGGCCCTAAGGGTTGCATTATAGATCATGTTCCCATTATCTGTCTGTCTGTCTGTCTGATCTTGAGAAAGTGCTGATACTGTATAATATATATAATCCCATAATTCACTGATATTTGCATATCAGACTGGTGTTACCCATGAGAGCAGTTCAGATCTGAAGTTCTGACGAACTCCCTTTCCATGAAAGACACAGAAAACCAAGACGATAATTTTGACCTTGATGGTCCTCATCAGTGAGGTGTGACTGTCCAGTCACAGTAAGCAAAAAGGTTCCACATCTGAATTATCCTTAACACATCTTGCGACCCTAAAACATAACAAACCAAAACAGGCAGATTATATGCTGGTATTATGGATCAGCACTTCCTTTGTTGGTTGATTCAGTCCAATATGCAACTGTAACAGGACATGTGAGCTAAAACCTGAATGAGACCTCTCACTGTCTCTCCATGTCTCCATTACTTCTTTGGTTTGAGCTAAAGCGGAAGCATTAGCGCAAGTTGTATGGAAGTAGCAGTGATTAGCTGAGAGTGTCAGTTTATGCTCTAATCCTCTCACTGACCATCCATTGTCTGCAAAGGCTAGAAATGCAACTAACACTCACAACCAATGGCTGCCACTTCCTCACTGCACATTTGCTGGAGATGACAAGAAGATGGAGAGAATGGCGCCTGGGAAAAATTACAGGTAAGACTGTGCCAGAGCCTCCAGGTTCCATAACTATTTAATTCAAAAAAATCATTAATATAGCCATTTCCACCTATGCCCAGCTCCACACAGAATAAATAGCATTTTATTTGTTAAAGGAACACTGTAGGCACCCAGACCACTTCAGCTCATTGAAGTGATCTGGGCATACTGTCCCCCCTATTGCCCTTGTTTACATTGCAGCTCTAAGCCTGGCCTCAGTGGCTGTGTACCAGAGGAGCAACAAGAGGGCTTCTGGAACTGAAATGTATCTGACGCTGGACGTCCACTGCTCTGCATGAGGGCCTCCAGCATCAGATTTTTTCCAGTAGGAAAGCATTGATTCAATGCTGCATTTGCCGCATATGCGCATTAGACCCCACTCATTGTGGGATGGATGAGGGAGCGGGGCATCAACACTGGAAAAAGGTAAGTAAATAAAGGGTTTTTAAACCTTTATTTACCAGGGAGGAGGGGCGCGAGGGATGGAAAATCTAGTATTTTGAAATAACAAACAGTGACCCGCTGCATTCTCATGTTTTACCTACCGAACTACTATGTGGAATATAATTGATATAACTTCATGCTGAAAGCTGAAATGTTTCATTTTGTATATATTGCTCTGAGATAATTCACAAATTGCTATAAATCTATGTTATTGCTAAGATTTAATTGAACTTTACAACAGTGGTTTCCCAAATCATGCTTGCTAACTTCATATCGCTAAGTAATTGCCATTAATCAGACTTACTACACCTTCAGCGACATATGATGGTTTATCCAGACTCCTCTTTGTTTCTTCCACTTACCCTAATGCTCTTCGTTTTTAATAGTCAGATTTGCCCATGGTGCGGGTTTGACTATTTATGCCCCATTCTATGTATCAGTGACAGATGGTGAAGATTTAAGTTGGTGGGGTGCGAGACTCCTCCCCAAACTGTTATTTGACCATTTAACTTTGCAGACACAATCTACTGAGCTGTGGAATCTGTCCGCTTAGCCTAAAGGTAATCCCCATACAATGCAAAGGCTGGAGCGTGCTAACATACTTTTTTCCTAAATTTTCTTAGCTTACCACCCTTGCCCCC